ATCCTGCTATTTTAACAGTGTAAATAGGTATTTGCACTTAGTGTAAATAGCATATTGCTAAAAATACTGCTATTTTCACTTAGTGTAAATAGAATCCATTGCTAATACGAGATTTGAAAAGGGAGGAAAAAAAAGTTCGGCAAAAGGTGGAATCAAACCCGGGTCGATCGCATCAAAGAGCCAACAACATGAGCTTATCCATCTGCGCCACTGGAGCTGATGTTTTACAGCCACTTTTAACTAAGTGTAAATAGACACTCCGTATTTTTTATTCCATAGTAAGGGCAATTCATACAATACATTTAAACTGAGCTACTTTAATACCATCTCCGAACTTTCTACCACGACTCTGCTGTTCTTCAGCTGGTTCTTCCTGTATACGTTAATTGACAGATGTCTCGTCCAGTCAGCGGTGAGTAATCCCAAACCAATGGCGCTGTCTCAAACTATAGCTACCTCTTCCAGTTTGTCTGATTTGTCGTTGTGTTTTCTGACTTGTTCATTTGTTTTCAAATTTGTCATTGTGTTTTCTGACTTGTTAATTTGTTTTCGAATTTGTCGTGTTTTCTGACTTGTTATAATGTTTTCTGAATTGTTGTTGTGTTTTCTGAATTGTTATTTTGTTTTTTAGACTGGCATTTGCGTTTGTAATTTGTTATTTTGTTTTCAGAATTGTGATTTGTTTTGCACTTCTCGGTCACCGTAGAAATCTAATATCAAACACACTACAGTTAAAAATTACAATCATGTTCTTTATGTAATTTGGTATGTCAACACATCAAAATAAGTGCACTTTAAAGCTTGACAAACAATTATTAAAACATAATGATTTAAAATGAACTGTATGTAATGTAGAAGTTTTATATTGATGTCATTAAAAATGCACTTTTTAAATGTACATAAATGTGTTAAGAAACAGTAATAAAGATATATATTTTTTTAATATTTGAAGTACACTACACTGCAGAGCTAATGGAACAGTTCGCTTAAAATGAAAATTGTCACCATTAACCTCATATTCTTTGAAACCCATATGAAATTATTTAGCAGGAATGGTCTACGGAAAAATGTTCAAGCTGTTTTTTTTTTCATTACAGTGAAAGTGAATGGTCACTACAGCTGTCAAGTGAGATTTTTAGTGAATAGCTTACATTTCAGTCCGTTCATCATACAATATACAAGTAGCCATACAGGTTTGGAAGAGGTTTTTTTTTTCTTTTCTCTGTAGTGTTTGAGTATAAACGTTTCTTGGACTTCTCATAAATTCAACATAGTGTAATAATTCTCATGAACACCCCATTGCTCAAAATATATAGTTTTCAAATCTGCATAATTTAACATGAAGCATTTACATAAACAGCGTGTGCAGAGTGGCTGATTAGTGTTAATGCAACCACATAAATGCAAAATGGTAATGTGGCATTAGAGCATGACACAAAGAGATGTTTTTGAAAGGTCTTTAAAGCTTTAAAGGCCTCTTGAAAAATCTTATGTTTGTAGCTTTTAGTTGAGGCCATATGTGTTAGTATACTCCTAAAGGCTGACGAAATAAACTTGACAGATAAACACATTTAAAATATACAATCTTTCTCTTGGACCGAAACTATTGATGACATATTCTCCCTCTCAGGTTTGTATATAAATGACGGCACTATAAGAACTCACATAGTCCAAAGTCATTTACTAATAACTAAGTAAATAAAGTGTAAAATATGGCGGCAGTTAGGGAAAAAAGATACATGTGCAAAATTTGAGATTAATATATTGCCTGCTAAAAATGAATCTCTCAGAATACACTGCAAGATTTAGATTACAAAAAATTGATTATTTTCCCCCTGCATAATTTTGTAGTAGTTAAAAAAAAAAGTGCAATGTGTCCTGCCTTGAAAAATATATCAAGACAGGAAAGAAAGTCATATATTTCAAACCATGGAGTGGTTTGTGTCCTAATCCAAACAAATCATTCTCAATTTGCATATCATTTATGGAAGCCTAATAACCATATCATATACCCTGTCTTCATTTCAGACTGGCTTGAAGGATGCTGCGTTCATATGGAGTACAGCAATCATATTTTATACTAATATGCTAACAAGAGTCATGAACCTACAAAAATGAATGCCATACCTGTTTTATCTTACAACATCTTTCACGTGTGGTATTTTTAACATGCTTTTCTCTTTGCCAGATTATTATATTATCAACAACTAGCTTGTTAGTTGATGTTATCAAAGTGTAAAAAGCCTGTTAGCCTATCAATATGGCCAGTTCAGCAAAAAGGAAAGAGAGGCAGTGTTATGTTTTGACTAAACTAGTTAAACATCATTGTTTGGCTTGGCATGCAAACCACTTCAGCTATGACTGTATTCACAATAGAGCAAATCATTGAGGGCCTTATAGCAATTATAATATACAACATTGGAAAGAAAATGCTAGTGAGTTTTTTTTTTTTTTTCAAACTAAAATCACTGTTTTTGTCTTGTGGCTATGCTATTGAAACAGTATTTTTTTATTTTTTTTTTACATTTACAGATTGTCCCCATTTTGTTTCCATTGTAAAGTGCCTCAGTGCAACTCAAAAAAAAGATTTTTGATTATTTATTTATTTATGTTAAAGAAAAGTGTTCTTTGAAGTCGCAATGGAACTGAAGCAGCAACAGATCGAAGTGTGAAGTATATCCTAGTGAAATGGGAAATTAAGGAAGAAAAAGATGTAGGGCGGGGACTTTGTTCTATTTATCGCTTGTTGATTGGATGGAGGCAGATCTGAATATGAGCTTGCAGTCAACCATAAAAAGGGGCGGGGTTTAAGTGGACGATATGATTGGAGAAGTCCTTCATACATCACTAGAGAGAAGTCTGTCATTTTGGAAGATTGGAAGATTAAGTTAATGACATTTTGATTAAACAGAAAGAAAGAAAGAAAGAAAGAAAGAAAGAAAGAAAGAAAAAAAGAAAGAAAGAAGTATGTGCGAATTAACTGTTCACTGTTCACAATAATGGTACACTGTATAAAAAAATATAATAAAAAATTTACATATTGGAGTATGTTTTACAAGAAAATACTATTTCAATCGTTCTACCTCAATTTCACATTTAATACAATGGTGATAGATGCTGTTCCTTTGTAATTATTGGTTAAATTTACTAGCGACTTCTCAGTGAAAAATAAGTTAAAGTAAACCCTACATGATTTATTTTTATATTTATTTATTTACTAACTTATTTGTGACCCTGTACCACAAAACAAATCATAAGGGTCAATTTTTTGAAATTGAGATTTATACATCATCTGAAAGCTGAATAAATCTTTCCATAAGCTTTCCATTGATGTATGGTTTGTTATGATAGGACAATATTTGGCTGAGATACAACTATTTGAAAATCTGGAATCTGAGGGTGCAAAAATTCTAAATATTGAGAAAATCGCCTTTAAAGTTGTCCAAATGAAGTTCTTAGCAATGCATATTACTAATCAAAAATTAAGTTTTGATATATTTACGGTAAGACATTTACCAAATATCTTCATGGAACATGATATTTACTTAATATCCTAATGATTTTTGGCATAAAAGAAAAATTGATAATTTTGACCCATATGTATTTTTGGCTATTTCTACAAATATACCCCAGCGACTTAAGACTGGTTTTGTGGTCCAGGGTCACATTTATCTGAACTCAACTTGCCAGCTTGGAAAACAATATTGACCAATCAGCATTCAGGATCACAACTATCCATTTTATAATTGACTGTCTAAACTGTATAACCTTAAATGTAGAAAATTAATTAATTTATTTATTTGAGAAGGTATTGATTGATGCCAAACATATTGTGAAAGCAGGGAATTAATTCTTTTAAATTCTATGTCTGCATCTAACCACGCAAACCTCACTTGAACATCGCTCCGTTTACCCTGTCAACCTAATTTTTCCAAAGAGAGTGCATTTGTTGAGTTCCTGGCCAGAGACATGCTGGGGGCGATATTTGTCTCCCACTGTCAGGAATGGAGCCACGGCGAGTGGGTGGCTGTCGGGCCGCGGCTGTATGCAGAGGTTCCATGTGCCCACGTCTCAGAGCGCTCAGAGACACGCTGGGCTAATGCGTTATCGGTGTGAATGAGCTCACGCTATGCTGAGCAGATAAAACCCCCACACTGACTCATCTGAAGGGCGACCCCTAGAGGACGCAGTTCGAAGTTCCCATGAAAGGGAACTGCATTATAGACAAAAAGAGCATGAGGAAGGAGGGAATGGAGGAGGGCGCTTTAGTGGCTTTGTCATGAATATTCTAATTGGCAGTGTTATTTTTGATGATTATTAAGACTGACCCCGGGGCCCTTAGCAGATCTAATGTAGCAGAAAGGGAACAGCCACAGGAGACTGTTTAGTTCTCTTTCTCTCTTTTTCACTTGTCTGTTGTCCATTTACAGCCCACAGCATATGTGAATCCATGTTTCTGTATTTGTCTCTGCTGTAGTGTGGATTTAATGTGTTTGTGAGTCTTGTGAATGCAACAAATCCTTTTTGATACTGCCAAGAATGGGTTGTTTACTGGTGATTCAAAAGCTATAATCTGATCAGAAATTGATGGAAGATTACTTTGAAAACATTCTAAATATAAACCATGTGTTCATAGTTAAATTTAGCAGCCTAACATAATCTGCTCTAATCTAAACATTTCAGATTCTATGTGATTTACAGATGTTAATTGAATTTGTGTTTCTCCACAGCAGAAATCCAATTTTCTAATATCTTGTTTCCCAGGACAAATATTTACATATTGAAGTTTGTGCTTGGAACAAGTGACACTAGACACTAGCTGTTGCTGACTATAGAAACTTTCATATATGCAAAATAGAAAAGACCAGTCGCAATTAAAAGTGAAGTGAGTGACATGACATGTGTATGGTATGGTGTCATACTCGGAATTTGTGCTCTGCATTTAACCCATCCAATTGCACACACACAGCAGTGAGTTGAGAACACACTCACACACACCTGGAGCAGTGGGCAGCCATTTTTGCTGCGGCTCCCGGGGAGCAGTTGGGTGTTCGGTGTCTTGCTCAAGGGCACCTCAGTCATGGGTATTGAGAGTGGAAGAGAGCGCTGTACATTCACTCCCCCCACCTAAAATTCCTGCCTGTACTGAGACTCGAACCCACGGCTTTTGGGTTACAAGTCCGACTCTCTAACCATTAGGCCACGACTGTCCCCTAAATTCACTATGACCAATCAGATTTCAAATGTAAGTATTATGATACCATTGATGTTGGTGAGCACGTAAGAGACTTTCAAAGTTCAGTGTTTCAAAATTCTTCCTTTACGCTCCATCATGTCTTTCGAAACCCTTATGACTTATAGCATAATGTCCGTTCTGCTCTCAGGAAATGGTGACCACAGCTCTCAAAAAAGATTTTCAAGTCAAGATTTTAGGTAAATAACGACTTCAGTCTCAGTCAGGAAGGCTTAAAGGTCAGTGCTGGGTTACTATGATCACTGCATCCAAGACAACACATTCTTTTTTCTTTGTGACCTTGTTTGATCTCTATTCAAATTGTGTTTCCATTGTCACTTGGCTAAACGGCATTACAGACAATTCAAAGACATTCCTTAATTCCATAAGGCATCCATTGAATCTGTACAGATAACTACCTTACATAATGCTTTGTTTGTGTTTCTTCCTCTCATCAGGGGTATCGGCCCAGCTTACAAACACCCGGCTAAGGAGGAACACCTCGGTCGGAACGCCCTTCTGGATGGCACCTGAGGTAGGACTGTTGGCAAGTAGTTTGCAAAGCATCGAGGCGACTTTGTGGAGTGCAAATGTTTTTTTTTGAGAGTCAAAATATTCATATGACTCAAGGGTAGAGGCTTACGTGCCTCAATTTGTCCTAGGTGTCAATACAATCAAAACACAAACAGATTTATTATTAGTGCAGATTTCTAAACATCTGCGGGGAACATTCTGGGGTGATTTCTGGACTAATCGAATGGATTAAATACTAAAGACGCTTGACAGTTTATTTGTGTTTCTGAGGTAAGACCACCTGTATTCCATTTTGTGTTTTTCTATCAGCATAAGGTTTACTGTACAATAGTATAGGTTAATGTAGAGGTCTAAACAGATTTTTTAAATGGAGAAATACGGATTGGATGGATTTTTTTTTATATTTCTCTCATCCCTGATTAGTCTCTCTCTTTTAAATTATATTTCTATCTTCAATTTATTTTAAGAATATAAAAATATAGTGTGTGTAATATTCTTATTTATTTTCTGTATTATTAAACTATTACTATTCTGCACTATAAGGTCCCAGTTTCAGTTGCTTGTGTAGTACAACATACTGTATGTGCAAAACATAATATAATTATATGGTGGAAGAACACTTTATTTCATAGAATGGACTTACCAGTGTAGAATCTCTTTGAATTTAATTTAATAAAATCCTTTATGTCATTCTAATTCCAAGTCAGTATTCCAACTGCTGAATTGAAAGGGAGCCACTTCTTAAATTCCGAATATTATCCAACACTGCACATTTGAAAAACTGGCTTTTATTGACATTTTCTAATTCCATTTCTTAATATAAAAATATTAAATTGCATTTAATTTGTGTGACTTCTTTGCTAGCTAGTTACATAGAGTTAAGCTGGAAAACAATTATTTTAATATACATATTACAAAAAAGGTGAATTCACTGTGCTCAACCAATGGTGCAGGGTGCATAGATCATCGTAATTACTCCAAATGAAAAAAGCAGGATCCACACTCACTTGAAAATGTAATGTTTTCTTGAATTTTTCATTATACAGGAAGCACAAATGGATCATCAGGATCATAAATATACATATTACAAAAAATATGCTCTTCACCTTTTGGTGGAAGTAATTTTTTCAATGTATTTATCATCAGATTATGACCAATAAACATGACAATAAAATATGTGTAACATTTTGTTCAACATATATACCGGTGGAAGTTATTTCTGTGCTCTGGTGACAGTGTTCAGCAGTCAGTGTCCGTTATAAACATTTGCAGTACAGTAATGACTGTGTTTGTGTATTTGACCAGGTCATCGCGTGTGAGCAGCAGCTCGACTCCACGTATGACGAGCGCTGTGACGTGTGGTCTCTCGGGATCACGGCCATAGAGCTGGGTGATGGAGACCCGCCCCTGGCTGATCTTCATCCAATGAGAGCTCTCTTCAAAATTCCAAGGTGACCCGCCCTCATGTTTGTACGTTTGACACTTGTTGTACACAAACACTGATTTGCATGACTACTGTACACGATATTCAGATGATATTCAAAAAGACCTCACAGTCCACGAGGTCAGGTTTGTGTCAGTATATGGAATCATTTGTGATTTTAGCATGCAGGTGGATGGCACTGCTGCTCATTTGGGCCTTGGAGCTGTCAGAAGCCAGCCTCGTTTCAGTCAGATCTTTTTTTGCGGGGTTACAGCAGCTTTAAAGTATGTCAGGTTTTATTTTTTTAAACGCTTTTTCTGTTATGATACGGAATATCTGTGGAAGTGTTACTAGTATCTGATTTCGCAGATAGTTCATTTCTGAATATAAAAATGTCAACACAATATAAAGTACTTGCTCTGGCTCTTGTTTTATATGATTTTTGTTCCGTTGTTGTGCATCTTGTTGTCTGTTGCTGTACAAGCAGGATGTGGAGGTTGGTAGGTGTGGAATTTGTCCCGCCCCTCCTCCACTGTGATTAGACGCAGAGGCATCATTCCCTTTCAAAACGACGGGGCACGTGCTCTTCAGATTTCTGAGTCAAGTGGATTTTGAATGCAGCTTTCAAGAGACAAAAATTGACTAATAATAATCAGCTGAGCCGAAGACAGACGCTCTCATTTGTTATGTATCAAAACTTGTTTTCAACCATTAATGTTTATTTAATGTTTCTCACACTAGCAAAATTAGTCATATCTCTTTTTACACATCTTCACAGCGTTGCGCATGATAACCAATCACACACGATTCTGTTGAGCTTATGCAATGGCCACATAAATGTTCTTTGCTCGCTATCTGTACAATGAAAGTGTTATAATTAGCTTACAATGTTTTTATTAAATTCACATAAAATACAAAGTCAGTCTTATTAAAAATATTTTATGACATGACACCCATATTTGGTACTTAAATAACAAGACGAGTTATATGCGTAGTTAATAGCTTGCACTAACATCGCTCATTGCCCGCTGTAGATCAACTAACATAATGATATAGTTATCAATTTTGGGAATATTTTGCAAAAAAAAAAAGGCTCACATCAGATATTCAGTGTGGCTACTGTGTATCAGAAGATACACTGGTGCCCCCTCAAAAATACTAAGTGCCTGGCGCCCCTGATTGGATGGCGGACTAAAAAGTGACAGTGATGAGTGCTGCGTTTTACCCAAAGTTGGACATTCTTCAGCGCCTCGTCACACTTCTGCCATTTTAAAAACACGGCGCTCCCACTGAAAACAATTGAAAAAAAAATTAAAAATACACTAACATCTCTGAAGCTATTGGCAGATGTTATGATAGACAACATTCAATTGGAGACTATTCAGAAGTTGTATGAATCTATTCTAAGAAGGTTGGAAGCTGTATTAAGGCAAAGGTAACACTTTGTTTTGATGGTCCCCTTTAGACATTCTGTTCGCTATAAGTAATTTTGCAACTACGTGTCAGCTACTAGTCATTAGAGTATTATCAGCTTTATATCTGCTAACATTTTATCCGCATTTCCACTGTTAGTCCGAACGGTTTTAAAGGTCCCCTGAAATGCTTAGAAACACGCAGCGTTGCTCTATGTGTTGATGTCATTTTAACTGAAACAGGAAGACAGGGCGGGACATATCAAGCAGCCCCGCCCCTTTTTAAAATAGCCAATACCATTCGTTTATATCACAACTTGGGCTAGAGCCGTTCAGAGCCGTTGAGAGCCGTAAAGTCACATTTGACAGAGTATGCCAGCTCACTGCCTTATAGATAACATTAAGACTAACATATTGATACTAACACCCAAAAAAACTTTAATTTTGATTTCATGGGGACTTTAAGAATGGTAAGGAGCAGTTCCAGTTGTTTTTCCATTTTAGCTTGGTACAATCAAATACTATAGAATACCCAAGACATGTCACTCGTATAGTTTTGAATTGGGAAAAATGCAGTGCTCAATATGGCCGCTCTATCGAACGAAGCCCCGCCTTCTGAGTAAAAGAACCAATCACTAATCTGTAAAGTCATCGGGTCACTGCAGCTGCCGATAGAAGTCACGGTTGCTATAGAAACATTCAGAGTTCTGAGATGCACACTTAGGACTGCGCATGCGCACTGGCTGGTCTATCCTGAAAAATACGCTTTTTTAATGCTATCTGAGCAAAAGAAACAACATTCATGAGGCAGTTGTTGTCAGATTTCATTGGTGATTTCAAATATGAAATTTAATCGTAAGCTTAGCGAACAGTTTTGGAGAATTTGATGTTTCCCCATTCAAAGAGATAGGAGCTGCACTTGCTTGCCCGAGAGGCGTTTCAAAGATGGCCACCGAGTGAAATGACTTGTCTTAAAGGGACTTTGGTGCAATTACCATTTAGGTCTGTGCCGGCAGAATGCATGTAGGGACATCGCCAGTTCGCCACTCAGGATTAGTCACTTGTTTGTTGTATGGCTACTAGTTTCTCTCTGTAGAAGGCCAAACACGCTATTTGAGCAAACTAGACAGAATCATCTGATCATCCTCCATAACGTCATCGCTATTGACATCTTATACCGTATGTAAACACTTGTGTTACCAAGGCAACGGGTGATGCATTTGTATTATAGGCTCTGTTATCAACCATACAGTGGAAAACAAAACCATAAACTTGCCACCTGGGCCAGAATAGAACGGTTAAGCAATAAGAATGGTTTGGCCCGACACTGGAAAATCGTCTTTTATTTTGATATTCCCCAACAAACTTAATCTACAAGCCCTTACCATAACCTAACAGTCTACTAATATTGTAATGAGAGTTAAGTTACTTATAATCAACAAAACGCCTTAAGTGGACCACCAAATTAAAGGCAAATTGTGGAAAATAACCTTTATAAAGAAATATTATCTATTTTCCAAGCATTCATATTACTTTGTCCAACCCCTGCATCCTTGTGGATACAAGAAAGAGACCAAGCGATTTTTCTTTCCATCGTGCACCTACCTGTCTGAAGGTGAAATTTGATTGTTTTCTGTTTTCGGGCTCAGAAGAGAAACTGTTATCACCAGTGTCATCTTGATGGTGCAGCACTTTTGTGTTCTAATAGACCACACACACACACACACACACACACACGCGCGCACGCGCGCTCTGGAAGACGATCCGCATTCAGAGATCTCCTGTGAAGATAGAGACGTCAGATACGTCTGATTCGCACAAACCGCTCAATCCAGCTCAACGTATTCATGAGCTGTTATGATTAAACACGCTAACTGTGAATAATCTGTGCACACACACACACACACACACACACAGCATCCGTCCATTGAGCGCTGTGCTATCAGAGCAGTGGCGTTCTGACTGCAGTCAGTGGTGGGGGTGGTGGGTATAATCACAGAGCGGTGTGGTTATGTTTCTGACTGCTCATGTACACACTGCAGGCTGTCTTTGTTGGGTCTCTCTCATGTTCTCTTTGATTCTTATAAGAAAAAAAACACACCTTACCCCCGCCCCCCCAACACACACACGCATCCAGACTGAGAATGAGCAATGCAATGTGACAAAACTGGAACACACCCATTATAATCTCAAATCTGTGTGTTCTCAAAATATTTCACTCAAGATTTTTTTATATTTTTATATCTAGATCTACACTACTATTCAAAAGTGTGTGGTTGGTAAGATTTTTATTGTTTTTTTGAAAGTCTCACCAAAGATGCATTTATTTGATCAAAAATACTTTTAAAATAGTAATATTTTTAAAACAATTTAAAATAACTGTTTTGTATTTTAATATATTTTAAAATATATTTTAACATTTTATTCTTTGATGAACAGAAATTTTGTAACATTATAAATTATTTTTTTTATTGTCACTTTTGATCATTCTAACGCATCCTTGCTGAATAAAAGAATTTCAGGGTCAAATCTAGCCCTGAACTTTTGAGCATTAGTGTATATTTTAGGTTCAATATTAATATAAAAATGTATATGTGTATTTATTAACTAAAATAACTATAAATGTATAAACTGTGAAATTTCAGATTTTTTATGTTAATGTTTTACTGACATTTTATACATTTTTTTAAATATTTTAGATTTTTTTATTTTTTTTTTATCATTATTTTATTGCAAAATCTGGCAGAATGAGATTTGAATTTGCAGCACTTATGTTGAATGGTTATGTCTTGGGCAGAATCAGAGGAGATCTGGTATGACTTTGATGCTGTAGGGTTTAAAAGCTGGTACATGCCCAGTGAACGGCAGTAGGCCAGTGGCACATGCTGATGGCATGTTAAGTGTTACATTTGTGTGACCCAGATTAGGCCAGACTAAGCCTCGAGCCCCTCTGCCACCAACAGACAGGAATACAGACATTTAGTCTGCGGACAGGAGCAAAATGAACCAGAAATAAACACATCCAATGTTAGAGCTGATACACAATCTGAATATGTCACTGAAATGTGAATGGAAAATAGTTTCAACTGAGGGTCTCAATAAATGTTTTTTAAATCTCTCCCAGTTGTCAATGAAGATGCTTTAACATACAAAAACATTAAAGGCAGGAAAATGATTTCATTAAAATATAAATATGCCACACAATAATAATAATACAAAAAAAACATAATTACGACTTTTTAGTTGTGAGATAAAAAGTCCCAATTACCTTTTATATTTTTTTATTTCATAGTGGAAACAAAACAAAACAAAGAAAAATTGCACTATGTAAACTTACAGCTCTGAGAAAAAAGTTAGGATTACAAGAAGTAAACTAAGAATTGTGGGATATAAACTCTTTTTTCCAAGAAAAAAGTCAGGAGGTCAGTCGACAATTCTGTGTTTATATCTCGCAATTCAAATTTTTGTGAGATAAAAAAAATAACTTAAAATCACATTTACAAGAGATTTGTATTTCAAGTATATGCTGATCTTTTTAACTTTTTATACATCAACGAATCATGAAAAGAGTATCATGGTTTCCACGCAAAAAATATAAATAAATAAATAAATAAATGTTTTCTATTAGAATATATTTTAAAATGTATTTATTTCTGTGATGCAAAGCTGAATTTTCAGCATCATTACTCCTGTCTTCAGTGTCACATGATCCTTATACTGATTTGCTGCTCATGAAAAGAATGTCTTACTGTTATCGATGTTGAAAACAGTTGTGCTGTTTAAAATGTAATAATATTTCACAACATTTCAGTGCTTTTGATCAAAAAAATGCAGGCTTGGTGAGCATAAGAGAAAAAAAAAATCTCACAAACCCCAGTCTTTTGAATGGCTGTGTATTTTGTTGATTATTTGGTGCTTTTATTAGTGACATTACCAGAACAAAACGCACCCCAGCCCACGTTATTGTTGTTGTCTGGTGGTTTTTGAATGCTGTGCTCTTAACGTTGTGCTTTAAATTGCAGAAGTCTTGTTGTTTTCATCTGTAATCTTTTATTCTTTGCTGCTGCGTTTCCGATAAGGATGCACTTTAATAGTCTAAGCGTTTCTCCAGTCTGACACCCCCCCATTAGGGTAATTAATCACTGTCAGAGGCACAGAGTGCGCTCCTGACGTGCTAGCCGTTGGGCTGGAGTACACTTCCTCAACCCTGCTCTCCCTCTGCTAATAGCCCCCTTCACCAGGACATCAAATGACGGCTAATTAGCTCTATTGTTCCACAGCAGGGAATGCTTGTCAGGTCCTCTGTGACACCATTAAGTGTCTATCTGCTTACTTATCTACATGTACAGGGAAAAGCTTCCTGGCAGCCTTCATAGACAAAGCTTTTTCACATCAGCACAAATTTACTAAAAAAATTCACTTTCACTCATGCAACTTCAACCTCAAATAAAAACACAAGGGAGACCACGGAAAAATTTCACTATTTTTAAGTTACTGAAGTTTATAGCACATGCATGCATTTTGGTATATAGACATTTTTCTTTGAGTATAATTAATATGGTCCGTACTTATAAGGACAATTGAAATGGTTCATCTATTCACCTAACAGACAATTTTAGGAAGTAATCTAATAATCTTATCAAGTGAGAAGTGTCTTTTCCCTTTAAAGTTAATGGGAAATTAATACACTTATCTCACACTTATCTTTGTCTATCTATCTGTTTTTCTCTGAACAGAAATCCTCCACCCACCCTACACCAACCAGAGCTCTGGTCAAACGATTTTAATGATTTTATATGCAAGTAAGTAACACAGGTTAAATGTATTTGTATTTATATGTACGGCATTGGCAAATCCAAAGTTTGTTGGTTGTTAAAGTTTTGTTAGTTTTTCTTTTCAACACTGATTTTGTGGGTTAGTTACTCTTATAAAGAGCCGTGTCTGAGTGTCTCATAATGCCTCGTCATACTCTAATTATCTTCCTGCTGTTTTACCAGAACTTTGTTTGTAACCGCAACTGAATTAATCTCAACAACCTTTAGCTTGTTTGTGTTTTTCCTGAATCTTGTCCTTATCAGTTGCCATTTGATTTGACTTCATCTTGGACATTTCAACACAAATTCTCCCATTTTTTTATTGTGACCCCTTCAGGTGTCTGATAAAGGATTTTGAGCTCAGGCCCAATGTGTTTGACCTTCTTCAGCATGTCTTCATCAAACAGATTGTGGGGCGAGAGAAGACGCTGCAGAACCAGCTGATGGAGCTAATCGACCTCAACCAACAAATGGGCGTTATCGAGAAAACAAGGTAGTTAGACACAAATATCAGCTCTAGTGCTTTCTGTGAGTCATACAATGTGTTTAACGTGACAAAAACAAAGCGTTTAAAATGCCACAAGTTTTAGTTTGGACTGTTTCTAACTTTTACAATTTAAAAGGCACTTTTTTCAATAAAATGTTTCACGCTTAAGAATGAGATGAATCCTCCAGCCACATAAGTGACCTAGAACAAGTATCATTCTACATATTCTTGTGAAAAAGAAGTGCACTTAATTGTACTGAAGTGTTGTAAAAGTATATATTTTTTAAATCTGTACTCAAAACATTAGATATATTAATGCAATTACTAATTAAGTGTATTTAATGAGAGTACACTTTCTTAACACACTTAAGTATACTTTTAAAAAGTGCGTTTTGTAATAATGTCAAATTAAAAGTTTTACTTTAAAATTCATTTGAACTCCTTGTTTTAATAAACTTTTTAAAAAGAAGTACACTTAACTAACATTCTAAAGCACATGTAAAGTACTTGATTATAATTTTAACTGTAGTGCATTCAATATTACATTTAAAGTTAATATATTTTAATTATACTAAGTCACAACTTCATTACTACAAATGTGTAATTAAAAATATTTAAATACGTTACATATGAGTTTCAATAGAAATTAATTTACAGTATTTTAGATTAACATAAATGCTTGTCAGTGCATTCAGCAGTATATTTTAACCGCATTTCAAAGACAATAGAAGTAAATATAAAATCACATGTAAAGATTGAATTATATGGTATGTCCTACTTAAGTGTGTCAAAAAGAACATGCAGCTCATTGCTTTTAATATAAATTCAAACTGTAAGACATTTTTATTTGAATTTCAGTTAACATTAGTCATTAGTCTGAAAACATTACATTCAGTTCATAATTAAGTATGTTATTTTAAAGTATATCATTTCCGTAATGAATACTCTTTTTAAAACTATGCTAAAGTGTACTTCTTTTTCACACGGAATGACTGGCCGATCTCTGCCTGAGATTGTATCAAGAGAAACAGTCCATTCACACAAAGGGAGGAAACCTTAGCACTCGATGTGGCGGCTGCTGTTCTGCCTTACATTTAAAAGAACTGATGCATTATTATGTAGAAGTGCATCAAAATGCTCATTATGATGGCAGAATATTTGAAAGTCCCATCTTGCATTAATAATAGATTGTTTGTTTACTCTAGAACATGCTTGAGCCGTAGCTGGACCGACTTGTTAAATACAAATTTTCCATTTTTAGTGCCTAGTAAGCACAGTTTATACTCTTGTTGATACCTTTATGATACCAAATATTATTTCTATTTTATTCAAATGTAATGTTGACAAATTATACTTTTGCATGTAAGCGTCTGACACCCGCTGTTTGTGTGGGGTGCAGCGTGTGATGAGCAGAGATGTACATGCCCCCCCCCATTGGGGTAATTAATTGCTATATATTAATATACTATTATTAACTTGACATACGGTGTTCATCTAAAGCATGTTTAAACAGACAACAATTTAAAAATAACTCAGAACGTAAGAATATGTACTGTGTAATCAGCCTTGAAAGCTAGTGATATATCAGAATTATTTATAATTTTAAAACTTACATAAACACGTTCATAAAAAAATACAGGATCTCTGCTGACTGCAGTACTGGCCATTATGGTTGCACCAGAGGCCCCCTCATCACAACCCCTGCTTTGCCTCCAAGATATTAACTTCATTTTTATCATTTAAGCCATCTTGGAATAACTGAAAGGAGAGACAGTGATTCCAGGTATGATATATTTACGGTCAGTCACATGGGTTAGATCGAGTCTACTTCCTGCGGATGTAGCAGTAGCAGCTTCCTGTCTCTGAACATTATGTTGTGGCGACTTCCCTTGCAACTTTCCCAAAAGCTTCAATTGTGTACCCAATGGTGTGTTCTTGTGTTTCGCAAAATATCTTGTGAGGCAGCTAGTTACCAATATCATTGAGAATATGTGCTCATATCTTGTGCTTTTCTTAGCTCTGTAATTTCCAATCTTAAGAGTGCTTAGGATGTAGGGTTTATTCAGGAGTTGCTCTTTTAAATGTGTAAATAAATACATGGTTTGGACCAATGTGCTGGGCTTTCTTACTTTACGTAACATTTGTTCAATAACATCACAACCATAAGCTCTGTTCATGTTTGCTATCAACTGTCTACATACATAGGCAGCTTCCTTTTGAGACAGCATGTGTTACTCACAAGAAGCATGTGAGGGCTTGCCATTAGCATGTTGCTAAGCTAACAACATTCATATTTAGTGTGAAAGGTCTTAGCAAGCATACAAATACATAACACAAATATTGAGTAAATTAGTTCACCTATGTTATTTATGGATAAAACTAGTTTGAACTATTTTAATAATACTTTTTAGCATTTAAAAAAGTTGGTTAGTCGGCATTTCTTTGTCAGTCATATTTGAGAAGTCTCTTATGTTCACCAAAGCTGCATTTATTTTATAAAAAATATGGTAAAAAAAGAAAAAACTACATATTATTATAAAGTAAAATAAAAGTTTTCCATTTGAATATATTTTGAAATGTAATTTATTCCTCAGATGGTAAAGGTGAATTTTCAGCAACCATAACTCCGGTCATTATTATTTTTAATGTTGAAAACAGTTGTGATACTTAATATTTTAATGGAAACTGTGATAGAGAGTAAAAAAAATAATAATATTTTTTTTTTTTGGAACAACGTAAAAGTCTTTGCTGTCATTTAATTAATTAGTTTAATACATCCTTGCTAAAAGTATTAATTTCTTTTGGGGGAAAAAATATATTTTTGGAAAAAAAATGAACGGTAATGTATTTTGCATGCTTGTTACAGCACCTGTTGTTAGTTTCATAACATGCTAATGTCAGACTCAATACATTGTGATAATTTTGCTGCATAGCTTTTGAACAAAATAATAATGCTGTAGAATATAATAACCTTGAAATAAAGATTTTGAAATTAGATATGAGGCTCTTCAAATGACTTTGCAATTATCTTATATAACTAACTATTGATTTTTATTTCATCATTCTCTTTAATGTCTCCATCAATAATTTCAACAAGGTAATTTGAGTAATTTATGTCATTTTAACTTTCATGGTTGCTTTTCAAAGACTATAATCTTGTGTTGCAGGCACGAGCGTATCCACACCAAAAAAGGCAGCTACATGAAGTCTCAAAGTCAAACTTGTGACGACGTGGAGGATCTGGCAACCCTTGAGGTTCTAGATGAAGTAAGAATGTATACAGGCCCCACAAGAGAAAGGCCACAGCGTGTGCACACACACTGGTTTCGATCATCACAGACTCAGAAAAGTCTTCAGGAAATGTTCCATCCTTCTGCCAGACAGCCCATTCATTCCAGCTGGAATTTTTTTGTACTTACATTTTCCAGTAGCATTTTTCAGAGAGACTGTCAAGTGACCATAACTCATCCAAGCAGTCTCATATGTTAACTGTCAACTGAATAAATAGACAGATTAGTGAACAATAACAGAGTTTGTATAGAAACACATTTAAGGTGATTTATCAATGCAGAGGGGTCTCATTGACACTAGATATATTTTCTCATCCATTATGGTAGCAGTGCTGACAGGAAGCATTTGTATTATGCCTGTGTCCTTGGACTGATCTCACCAGACCTGTGATGTGTGTAACTGTCTTGTATGGCCATATTGGCCGCATATGGCAGCAAAATGTACATAGTGTGCAATAATCACAATGTAAAGATCCATGAATGCTGTAGTCTAGATAGTGAATCATCTCACCGTGTCTAGGTTTGGTCATGCATGAAAATGGAGACTCCTGCACAGTATTAGATGGTTATGTTGTTGTGTATCGGTGTGCAGTGGTTTGGTGGGATGGCCATCTGTGATGTTTAATTGTCTGTCTGTTAGAACACAATCACCGAACAGCTACAGAGACGTTATACAAAGGAGCAGATCTACACCTACGTTGGAGACATCCTTATAGCGGTGAATCCATTCCAGAAAGCGGAGCTGTACACGCCGGAGGTGTGTGTGGGATATTTCATTATGGATGCCATCAACCTTTCATAGTCTACTACACTCCATTTACTTCCACTCTCATTCACTTTCTTCCTCACCTGTCAATCTGTATCTGGCTTGTGACATTGTACCTTTTGCAGAAACATTGTATATTTAATTTCCCTTTTTCTTTCATTCACATGTTCTCCTCTCTAGATTTCCTTGTGAAAAAGAAGTACACTTTAGGATACTTAAAAAAGAGACTTATTATGGAAAGAATATACTTAAGTGCAAATTAAATGTTTAACCCTAATTGCATGTTATTTGTAATGTTGTATGTTATAAACCTATATTACATGCAGCTTTAGAGTGCTTTTTTACCCAGTTAAGTAGGACTTACATCTTTATGCAATTTCATAATTACTTCTGTTGTCTTTAAAATATAGTTAAATGTACTGACAAATTTACTGCCCACCATTTATGATAACCTAATATACACTTTAATGTAATTTCTATTGAAACTTGAATGTCATGTATTTAAATATATTTGTAATTACACAATTGCAGTGATGAAGTTGCATTTAGTACATTTAAAATATATTAATTTTAAATGTAATATCCAAAGAACACATTACAGTTAAAATTATAATCAAGCACTTAACATGTGCTTTAGTACATTAGTCAGCACATCAAAACAAGTGTACTTATTTAAAGCACAACAAAAGATTATTAAAAAATGATTTAAAAAGTACTTTAAAGTCAAATGTTTAATTATTACAAAGTACACTTTTAAAAGTGTACTTAAGTGTGTTAAGAAACTTGTGACCTTTTATTTCATTAATATTATATTATTTGTAATATAATATAGTTTTAGTAATAGTTTTTCTAATATTCTTTTAAGATTTAAGTGCATTACGAGTGTGTATTCAATACAATTAAGCACTCTTCTTTTTCACAAGCTTATGATTTTAACCTAGCAGAAGATAAAAAATCAATTGGCATAAACTTGCATTAATGGCAAGCCCATTACAACACAATGACAACCACTCAGAATACTGTAGCAACTGCATAGCAATGCCCTGGCAACCCCCTTGAACACCCGAGCTACTACTTAGCAACACCCCAGCAACCATTCAGAACATCTTTGCAATATCAATATCAATGAGCTAACAACCACTTCAAACATCTAAGCAGCCATATAGCAATGTTAGATGCACCCAGAATACCCTAGCAACCACATGGGAACATGCTAAAACACCTTAGAAACTGCTTAGCAAAGTGCCAACAACCACTCAGATCACCCCAGCAACCGCACTGAAGTACACTGACATCTGCTCAGAACACTTAAAGGGATAGATCACTCAAAAAAATGACAATTCTGTTATCATTCACTCACCCTCAAGTTGTTTCAAACCAGACTTTCTTTCTTTTGATGAATACTAAAAATATTTTGAAGAATGTGTCCCCATTGACTTCCATAGTATTTTTTCCTCCATACTATGGAAGCCAATGGAGAGCAGCAACTGTTTGGTTACCTACATTCTTCAAAATATCTTATTTTCTGTTCAACAGAAGAAATCAAGTTATACAGGTTTGGAACAACTTGAGGGTGAGTAAATAATGATAGAATTGTCATTTTTGGGTGAACTCTCTCTTTAAGCAACTGCATACAATGCCATTTATGACATCTTAGAAACCACATAGGAATGCACTGTCAACCACCTACTCTAGGATAGTGAGGATTGTGTGTTTTGTATGGGCAAGCACCACTTTTGCTTCATAAAATGTGAATTATCAAATTAGTCAAACACAGTTGTCTAATACGCTATTGTTTCTCTGACAGCATTCTAAGATTTACGTTGGAGCCAAAAGAACGTCCAACCCTCCTCATATATATGCAGTTGCAGACATCGCATATCAGTCCATGGTCTCCTATAATACTGATCAGGTAGAGTATGTTCCTCTATGAACTTCTGGACTGTACACTGGAAAAGTGGTAACCTGCAATTGTTACTTGAAAGAAATATTTCTTCCTGATTTAACCCATATAATGTAGTTTTGGTAGTATCAAGTAATGTATTTAGGTTGATTCAGTGATATGAAATAATATTTTAATATTTAGATGTTATCATTTTTTAGTCATGTTCTGAGTATATCAGTCATGTTCTGAACTGTGTTTGTTTCTGTGTGCAGTGCATTGTCATCAGCGGAGAGAGCGGTGCTGGGAAAACAGAAAGTGCCCACCTATTAGTCCAACAGCTGACCGTTCTTGGAAAGGTTCGGAGGCTGCTTTATGTTCTCAATCTTATATTATGACTTAAGTTATGTTTTTCTCATAGAATGTCTCTCATATCACTTAATACTTTATTCTTCTCACATAATAAAATAATTTCAACTGAAATCAGTGTTGTGATGTCTGGCATTGGTCGTTTATATATATATATATATATATATATATATATATATATATTGGGAAGTAGCTGTGTAATAAGTGTGTGTTCGATCCTGATCACTTTTATTTTGTCAGTAATGACTACAGTTCTTTTTTTTTTTTTTTCAGGCAAACAATCGGACCCTCCAAGAGAAGATTTTGCTGGTCAATAGTCTGGTGGAAGCCTTTGGAAATGCTTGTACTGTGATCAATGATAACTCCAGTCGCTTTGGGAAATATCTGGAGATGAAGTTCACATGTGGAGGCACAGTGGTGGGAGCTCAGATCTCAGATTACCTCCTGGAGAAATCCCGGGTCATACACCAGCCCGTGTAAGAGACCATCTCCCTGCATATTAACCATGAAACTCCAGCTAAATTCAGCATGAATACTGAATTAAATATCAAATGATAAGGACTGACTGAAATGACCAAACACATTTTTATGTTTAATAGTTTTCCTGTTTATCGATTAGCCCAGAAGGGTAGAAATCATTTGTTGAAAAAGAAAAAAGACAATTTGGAGCAACAATAAATTAAGCACAATGGAAAAGAAAAATGGTTACAATTGTTAAAATTTTCAGAAATTATGTTCAAAGAAATAGCAGGATACACATTGTACTAAACATTAAAATTTGATGTAGAAAGACTGAAATAGTGTTCTTTGCAAATCATACTCCAATAATGTGTTTTATTTATATCTTTAAAAAAATATATATATTTTTTTTTTACAGCGCTATTTTGATGGCAAATGTTCGTTTGTATTAATTGTTCAAATGTATGTATATAATGAATTAATGAATTTGTTTAAAATATTTCTTATAATTAGTTATAATTTATATGCCACAAAGTTATAAAGTAATAATTTTAATGGTAAAATTAAATAAAAATATAAAATCATTAAATTCATTTAAATTATTAAATTAAATTAAAAATAAGAAAATTAAGAATATGCTTTTCCACCAGCACTTTTTCTCAGCTGCTTGGATACTAAAATCTATTCTTTCTTTTTTCAGAGGGGAACGTAACTTCCACATCTTCTATTATATCTATGCCGGTCTGGCAGAGAGGAAGAAACTCGGCCACTACAAGCTGTCAGACAGCAAAACTCCAAAGTAATTTGCTTGCTGTTTTTATCTGGATCCACATCTGACATGCTTATTTCTGTTTTGTACTCTTTGTTTTTTCTCAATTCCAGGTATCTCCACAATGAGAATGTTAAATTAGTGCCTGACATTGTGGGCAATGCCTTCTATAAGGAGCAGTTTGAGACAGTGGAGCAGTGCTTCAAAGTCATCGGCTTCACACTAGAGGTACACAAACCTATCACAATAAAGTGCTTACAGTCTTTAAAATAACGGTTCAAGAATACCATATTGACCTTTTTTGCTGCAAAGAACTCTTCTAAGTACAGTAGAATCACGTTTTTAATAAGTGTCATTTAGAACGTTTAATTTTACATAATTAGAGTTCTTAAATTGGAGATGATAGCACTGGCTGTCATTATACTAAAATGCAAATGTTGTTTCTTTTGGATAAGGGGCTAAATGCCCTTTGATTTCTATATTATGAAGTGTAATAGACAAGAAGAACACTGTGGTGCAGTGACCATGAGAATAGCATGCCTGTCCATTCAGGTCCAGTGCTCTGAATGCTGGTGATGGCCTGTGTGGAGGGTGATGTAGAAGTTGTGACCCAGTGCTCTAATGCCATCAGTCTTCACAATTAGCATCAGGAGAATCAATGATGCATGCGAGAATACATTACCAGTGCCCATTTTGTCTGGACGGCTGCATCAAAGCTTATCAGTGAAATAAGATATCAGATATCCCAAGATCGTGAAACTATCACAATAGAGCGCAACGTCTGGTTCTGGAAGTAACTCAATTAATTTTCTTTATAGAGAAATTATTTTTAACCTTTCAATGTAGATGCACAATGAATAACATGAGTTTAAGTGAAAACAGATTCTGTAGAAGCTATAAATAAGAAATTATTTTAATAGCCACATTTTTGTGAAGAACTACACAGTCCATAATCTTGGCAAGAGATCAACCAATCTGAGAAGTTGCTGTTAGCATGGAAACAGAATTCACTGCAAAAGCTGAGCAGTAATTGTCCACTACCATACATTTTCAAACGTATCAAATATTTGTGTGTGTGTGTGTGTGTGTATATATATATATATATATATAAGAAACCTAAAATATATTGTATTAATGCTTTTTGTCAGTGAATATAAGCCATTAGCTTTTCATATACATACTATCTTGAAATCAAAGTGTAATTCTGAGATTAATCTCAGTTCTTGTAAAAAAGAAGTGCGCTTAAAGGAATAATTTACCCAAAAATTAAAATTTGCAGAAACTTTTCAGACCATCCAAGATGCAGATGAATTTGTTTCTTCATTGGAACAGATTTGGTAAAATGTCATCACTTGCTCACCAATGGATCCTCTGCAGTGAATGGGTGCCGTCAGAGTCCAAACAGCTGATAAAAACATCACAATAATCCACAAGTAATCCACACGATTTAAGTCCATCAATTAACATCTTGTGAAGTGAAAAGCTGTGTGTTTGTACAAAACGAATCCATCATTAAGGCAAAACAAGAGTCCAAAAATTCATAATACCGCTTCCTCCAGTGGAAAAAGTCTTTCACTTTTATGTAGATGGTGCTTCATCTGTGCATATTCCTCTCCTGATACAGACAGCTTTTTCACTGAAGAAAGCAAAATTATGGAAAGAGGACTTGCATTTTAGCCAGAAGCTTGTGGGTTATTGTGGATGCTACATTTCTCCAAATCTTTTCCCATGAAGAAACAAACTCATCTACATCTTGAATGTACAAGTTTTTAGCTCTATTCCTCAAACTATTCCTTAAATTGTTTTTGAATGTGTAGTGTACTTCCAATCTTAAAAATAGCCTGTACTTGCAGATAATATAATATTAATGAAATAAAAAGCCACTTAAGTGTTCTTAAAGTGAGTACACTTTCATCACTATTTTTCACTATTACATTACATTTAGAAGTATATTATTTTCCTAATAAATATTCCTTTAAAAAAAAATTGGTGTACTGAGAAACTTTAGTTCTGGAAACACTGTTGTGAATTATACCACAGAACTACCACCAGGCCAACATCTAAATCTTCTCTGTCTCTGTAATGTCAGTTTAGTTTTCGATTTCTCAAGGGAGACAGGAATAATCACAGGCCTGTGAGTGACATGACTTTGACATTACGGAACACTGTACTCTTTAGGGAATCCACCTAATCGAATAGACAGATGTGGCAGTGTGTCACTAGATATTAACTGCTATGCTACATTTGCAGAAATATGTAGCAGTTTCATTCCTCTTGGATGGGATGCTTAAACATAGGGTTAGGGTTAGGGTTAGATGTTATTAGATGTGATGTCATGTAATAAATCATGTTATTTATGCCTGGCATCTCTTCTGTAGGATTTTTTATTTAATGCATTTTATTTATCTGTTGGTATAACCTACCGTGGTACATTTTTATGTCATAATTTCATTAGGAGCTCGGGAGCGTTTACAGTACCTTAGCTGGGATCCTAAATGCAGGTGATGTTGAGTTCACATCAGTGGCTTCGGAACATCAGACGGACAAAAGCAACATTTCCAACATGGCAGTACTAGAGAGTGGTAAGTATTGTTATATGTTCCAGGTTTTGATCTGAGCCTGAGCACAGTTATATAATCAGTCATGGGCGTTGTGTGTTTATGTAATTCTGAAGAGCCACAAGAAACCCTGTGTAAATCCCTATCTGCATCTCTTTAGAAAAAAAAATCTCCATAAACAAGCCTTGTTGCTCTTAGCTGACTTAATAGATGTAGAGGGGCACTTTTCACCATCTTATCTAGAGCAGTTTATCTAACTTAAACTATTCGTGAGCCTCCGGGCTGCTGGACGGGACCAGCGGGGACAAAGGAGAGAGGAGAGGGGGCAAGTTGACCTCATTGATCGCGGCGGTAATGGGCTCTCTGTCATCGGTGGGCTCGGGCTGATGCTCCGTACCGCAGGGAGATGGTGGGCTGGGCTCTGGGTCAGGAGTGGATCTGGCGAGATCATCCTCGGGAGAGACGGTGAGAGGCGATCCGTTTCTCGCCAGAATCTACTCCACAAATGTGGTGAAATCCTCTCGAGGACCATCTTCGGACGATGGCGCTCTGTTCACAGTGTTCAAGCTTGTGTCATAGAATGAGCAGAGCGCGTCGTCCGGGTAGCTGGTGGTGCTAGCTAACAGCCGGAACAGTCTCGTATGGTCCTCGAGAGATCTGTCCCCCTGCTCCAGCAGGAGGAGGAGGAATTCTGGGTGGGTGAAGGGATCCATAAGGGGAAACACAATGGAAACAAAAACACTGTGAGAAAAAACGGAAACAAAAACGTAGGGTAGACACACGGAGTTAACTGTATTCGGTCGGGTCTTCTGTCACAATCCACTGGAGCACGGGCACGAGGAAATGAGGAGAGGTGGAGATTTCACAGAACGAGAGTTTTTTAACACAGGGCAATCATGGGAACACAGGTGCATGGAATCATAAAGTAATCAAACTAAACAAGAACAGGAAAAATACCATAAAAGGAAACACAGGAAGAACTACGGCGAGGCAAAACGGGTCCAAAAGTCTGACAAAACGTTTCTGTTGCAGGAAAAAATATATATATTGTAAGGCAAGAGACAGCAGTTTTAAATGTATGAACCTAAAAGTATACCATTACTAGTGACATGCACAATTACTGATTAGTGTATGTATGTAAATTGGGATGCGGCACCAGTCATGTATAACCATACTATATAGCATTCCGGTGTAAGATTTTTGTGTCCCAAATTTAGTGCTTTTATTGTTAACTTAAAGTATTCAAAATTGTTTTCGTAATTGAAATAAAATAAAATATAAATATTAGAGGAAAAACCAAAACCTAAACTTGGCAGCTAACTGAAGTAAATACAGTAAGTTGAAGCTGAAGAATTAAAATGACTAAACTCAAAACTGTAATAAAAATAAATCAAAACTATATAGAATTATTAAAAAAACAATCAAATTGCTAAAAAATTTACTAAAATTAAAACTGGAAACATAAAAATAAAAGTAAATTCATGTTAGTAAATACTATGGTAACATAATAAGGCCCCATTACTTAATGCATTAATTAACAATGAGCAATGCATATGTTATAGTATTTATTAATCTTTAACTAACAATGAACAACTGTTCATTTTAGTTCATGTTAACTCAGGTCCGTTAAATAATATTATCAGATGCAACGTTTGATTTTAATAATGTTTTAGTAAATGTTGTAATTACATTAACTAAGATTAATAGTTTCGGTCCCACTTTATATTAAGTGGCCTTAACTACTATGTACTTACATCAAAACACAATAACACAATAAGTGCATTGTACCAAATGATTAATTTAAATGTAAGTACATAGTAGTTAAGGCCACTTAATATAAAGTGGGACCATGATTTATTTATAAGTTAACTAATGAAGTTAACTAATGTTAACAAATGGAACCTTATTGTAAAGTGTTAGCAATACGATAATAGTATACAAATAAAATCAAATCTCAGTACATTTATTTCCTATAGTAGCGAATGGGTTGTCAAATTAATTTTAAGGTAACGAATTTGGCTAGATACTAAAGCTAACAGTACTTAAGAAATAAGTTTGTTGTTGTGGTTTTTTTTGTATTATTGAGATACTATTATATATTTTATTTCTATTTTAATTATTTTTTTGTTTGTTGTATACAATTTTGCTGCAGTTTTGTGAGATGGTAGCACAACTGGTGTTCTGACTTGTTACTTGTACTAAAAGTGTATTTTAAAATGTATTCAGTAGAAGTGGCATGCGGTTCCTATATATCTAAATAAGCTCATTGTTATGTTTCTATGTGTTTGTATGTTCAGCTGCATCACTGCTGTGTATCCGTGTGGATGAGCTCCAGGAAGCGCTGACCTCTCACTGTGTGGTCACACGGGGCGAAACCATCGTCAGGTCAAACACAGTGGAGAAGGCCACTGAGGTACGGGACACCATGGGCAAAGCCCTCTATGGACGCCTGTTCAGCTGGATTGTCAACCGCATCAACTCTCTCCTGAAACCAGACAGCCAGTCAGGGTAAGAGAGAAGAGAGTCTTCCCAAACTGTGCTCGGATTTGTCAATATTTCAACAGTTGCAATCAAAAGTCTCAATATGAACATTGTGCATCAAATTCTTTCAAGACCACCATCCAAGAGAGACGCAACTTTAGAACATATCCTAATTGACCAGAAACTAGAAAGAAATGGTTCCATCCAATGTGACAATCATTTTTTTAAATCCCATATAACATTTTTCTTAATTCTATCCTCGAATTTCTCTCCAGGGAGGAAGACAAAGGTCTGAACATTGGTATTCTGGACATCTTTGGCTTTGAAAACTTTAAGAGGAACTCTTTTGAGCAGCTCTGCATCAACATCGCCAATGAGCAGATCCAGTTCTACTTCAACCAGCACGTCTTCGCCTGGGAACAGGTACATCCTGCCTCTGATAAAGTAATTCTATCCAATCTTCAATGGTTTGGGAGCTGTTCTATGCCTTTTGGGAGCATTTTTATTTTTCTTCCTCAGCACAATCTTATTTCCATCTAAATGGTGGTAACACTTCATCATTTATTGTATTACAGTGTTGTGAGAAATGGAGGGAAGGGGATTGAAATATTCAGTTTTCGTTTTACGCAGACAAGCATGGCAATTCCCCAGACTGACGGGGCTAACTGTAGCCTTGAGGGGGAAAGTGATTTAGTGCCTCTAAACGTTTGCGACTAACCCACATTAGTGCCTTCATAAATCATCTGAAACAAGGGTTACGTCAGTTTGCTAGGCAGTTGCTAGGGTGTGCTAGGGCGTTGCTATTTAGCAGCTAGGCGTTAATATAATAATAATAATAAAAGTATTGTGCTTTGCAATGGCAAGCACCACTCACACTTATTTTTTATTTTTTTTTTTTAATGAATTAATTAATTAATTTTATTTTTTTCTAAGTGATGATTCTCATAAATTCCCAAATATTCCTATTAGTGTAATACAGTATTACACTAACTATTAATATTGTCACATGTCATTCAGTTTGGACTTTGTTTTCCTCTTGCACCATTCCCCTGCATTGTGTTAACTGTGTCATTCTGCTCGGGGGCCCGTTCTTCGTACGTCGCTAACTCAGTTAGCTGGATTTGATTGTTGACGATTTGGCATGATCTTGGATTATGAATGTGTGAATGTGAAGTGAAGTGTGGCCAAGTATGATGACCCATACTCAGAATTTGTGCTCTGCATTTAACCCATCCAAGTGCACACACACACACCGTGAACACACACCCGGAGCAGTGGGCCATATTGCTGCGACGCCCGGAGAGCAGTTGGGGGTCTGGTGCCTTGCTCAAGGGTCTCACCTCAGTCGTGGTATTGAGGGTATAAGAGAGCACTGGTCATTCACTCCCCCCACCCAATGTCCGTCCTGAGCGCTCTCTCATCCCCATCATGAGTAGACACGCCCCTTACTGCTGATTGGCTACAAGTTTTTTTGGTACTTAGCCCGACTCAGTTTTCTAACGCGTTTTTTGAAAAAATACATACCCCACCTTTAATTATCCTTGCTTGGTCTGTGAATTCAAGTTCCTGTGTTTTCCGTTTTAGTTTGTCCGGTCTCGTCTGCTGCCTGTGTGATGGAATACCTGTTTGTTGGATTGCCTATGTGTTGGATTAAAGACTGTTGGAAATCTTCTTCTTCATCTTTGTGCGTTTAATACAGCATAGCTGTGACAAATACAATTATTAGTTTTTTTTTTTGTTTGTTTTTTTAAATCAGAATAAATTAAAAGGCAGTAAAACATACCACTATAAAATATAAACACTTTGAAAGAAAAAGAAAATGTGCTTAATTTTTTTTATAGTCTTTACTGTATACAGTAAAAACTTTGTAATATTATTATTTAACATTGTTTAAATAATATACATAGTAATGCGATTTAGATTTTTATTACACTAATGAGAGTACAGTTTCTTCTTCTTCTTCTTCTTCTTAATAATAATAATAATAATAATCATAATTTTGGAGTGGAATTTGACCAAGACTTTGAGCTTTACCTGTAAAATGTATTCATAACTTATTTGTTGATTTGTGTTCTCCATATTATTATTTCTACTCGAAGCACTCAGGAGTATGGAGTATGGAGCCTGAAGTAAACACTGAAGAGTGTGTTTTCTGTTTTGTTTTTGTTTTTGTGTGCCTGTGCCTGTGTTACTTCAAATCTGTTGTTTTTGCATCCCTGAGGCTTGTATGTCAACAGCATTCTTACTGTCCCTAAAAATTAGGTTGTTCCCTGTTCGCAGGATGACTTTACCCGCGGCTAAAAGCTCAAATCTACACCAGAGATTGGATTTCTCAGACAAGCTTCTGTATGTGTGTTGATGCATTTCACCAGTGAATAATTTAAATCCATGTGTGTATTGTAATTTATCAACATGGCAGTCTAGAGACAAGACAGACATGACATTTGTGCTTTGGGTTGAGTGCTCTGCTCACATGAAGTCATTGTGTAGCAGCAGGAATTGTCTGACACACTGTGCTCAGATTTAGGAGGTTACGGAGCTCGAGGCATCAGCTAGCAGAAGTCAGCAGTGTTGTTGGGAGCTTACAAATATGTGTGGATAGATGAACAGAATTACTTTCCCCAAGGAGAAATTCAGATGCAAAACAATAGCAGCATCGAGCGTAAAGGTCACAGAAAACATCACATTCAGAGACATAGTGTAATCAAACTAGACATTTCAAAATATGAATGCATTGTCCTGATAATAAGAAGTTTTCTTTTGACATTTCATGTAGAATTAGTCTCGCATGACCAGAATTTTGACTATCAGCATGAAATCTTGTCCATTGGAGCTTATTCTGGCCAGAAACTGCCCAGTTACACAGGAAGAGACTAACTAATTGACGTGGATACTGACCAATTGCAGTTTAATTTAATTACATTTTTTTTCATTCTGTTTTGGGAGAAATATATTAAAGAAACAGCAGTGTCGGTCTGGACCAAATGAATGTTCTGCAAATTGTCATTTTTACTAACTAAATACTGATAGTTTTACATCTACACTAATGTTCAAAAGTTTGGGGCCAGTATAATTTTTTTCCAAGTCCCTTTCACTCACCCAGGCTGCATTTATTTGATATAAAATACAGTAAAAACAGTACTATTATTAAATATTGTTACAATTCAAAATAACTGTTTTCTATTTTAAGATGTAATTTATTCCTGTGATAGCAAAACTGATTCATGTGGATAGTGACCAGTTGCAGTTTATTTTTATTTTTATTTTTTCATTCAGTTTTGGGAGCAAGAAATTAAAGAAACAGCAGTGTCTGTGTAGCGAATCAGCTCAAAGGGGAAATATGAATAATTAATCATAACTAGTTATAATTAATTATAAATATTTAGATCCGCTGTAAGCATTCATTTGACCTCTCAGTGTCAACTGTCTGTTAATTCTACGAACGTTAATTTCCTGGTTAAGGAAAATAACTTTCTTACTGTTCAATACTACACAGAGCATGTAGCAAAAATCTGCATGATTAGGGACTCCGGTATCAGCATGTAATATGCACTCTCAATTAGATCATCCGAAGATGAATTCATAGAGACCAAACATGATATAGGTGAGGTTATATTAACTAGTGGTCTATCATAACATGCATAAAAAACAGTATACAATTCAAAAGACAATATACACGAACAGTAATGGTATACACAATGTCCTGATCAGATGTGTGTTCATTCACAGAAAGGTTTTCCTATGAATGAATCAGAGAAGAGTCAATTTTTACTGTGCATTATGTGTCTTTCCTATGGAAAATGTAGTGAGAGGGAGAACTCTCAACATGCCATTAGGTCGTAAAGTGTATCTGGTCTAGCAAAGGTGTCGTGGTTGCCATGGTGACCAGGGGCCTGGTGTCGTTCGCAGACATCCTGGCACCCAGTATGTTTATTGGGTGAGGGGTCTGTGACTATTTGTTAATCTAATGAATAATTGATTTGTTAAATCTAATGAAAAACGGTGTCTGATTGGTCCATACGCTACATCGGTTTCAGCATCATTAATCCAGTCTTCAGTGTCACACGATCCTTCGGAAATCATTTTAATGTGCTGATTTGCTGCTCAAGAAACATTTCTTCTTATTTTATTTTATTTATTCATTTATTTTTAGGAATCTTCGATGAAGAGAAAGTTCAAAGAATACATTTGTATTATTATTATTTTTTAAATATAAATAATTTGCAATGTTATAAAAGTCTTTACTGACACTTTTGGTGACTTTATTTGCATCCTTGCTGAATAAAAAGCATTAATTCTTAAAAAAAAAAAAAAAAAACTTTTGAATGGTAATTGTATAAATCGTTCAGAGATTTGATTCCAAAAACCTCATGGAAGTTCATCACATGATTTGGTTTCTCTGCAGGATGAGTATCTGAACGAAGATGTGGACGCTCGAGTGATTGAATATGAAGACAACCGGCCGCTGCTGGATCTGTTCCTTCAGAAGCCCATGGGCATGTTAGCACTACTGGACGAGGAGAGTCGCTTTCCTCAGGCTACTGACCAGACCCTCGTCGGCAAGTTCCTCTCAACATCTGACCTTCTCCCTGAAACATCATAGAGCTTGTAGCTTTAGTATTGTTCACCTGGTGTCTTATGACCAGGGATACTTACACTGTCTCTCTCACACACACACATGCACTCAGACCCACAAGAACAAGGGGGAGGCTGTCATCAAACATTTACTGGCATGCTAAGTTTTCATCTGCTTTCTCTAGAGGATGCTCTCAATTAAGTATTTGACTGACAGCTGAATAATTCAACATGCCAAGACTAGACGCCTAGCTGTTTTTCCATGACTTAGCTTTATTGCTTTATACTGAATGAAACGGATGGATGGATTCATTCATGTGTATCTCATGTTATCACGAATGGATGAATGAATTAATGAGGGTTGGGTCAGTGAACGAACAAATGTATGAACAAATGAGCAAATGAATGAATGAACTGACACAGATGATGAATGGTTAAATGTACAAACTAAGTAAATTATTGAATGAATGAACTTGTGAATGGACGGGTATGCGAATGAATTCATTGTAATTAACAAGCAGTTGTCTTTTTTTCATTCAGAGAAGTTTGAGGTCAACTTAAAATCCAAAAACTTCTGGAGACCAAAGAGGGTTGATCTGGGCTTTGGAATCCATCACTACGCAGGCAAGGTAGAAATATTTTATCAATATTTATTTATGCATCTTTTTCAAACATACTACAGAAACAAAGATATGAAAGAGAATGAAAGGGATTGTTTACAAAAAAAGGACAATTCTGACATCATTCACATACATAAAGGATCCAAACGGAGTTTTCACAGCAACGCCATTGAAGAACCATTTTGGGTTCCCCAAAGAACATTCTATTGAACTGTTCTTAAAATAATTATTTTTTTTATACGTGTGAAGAACTTTTTAATAATCTGAAGAACCTTTTTCCACTATAAAGAACTTTTTTGTGCAATGGAAAGGTTCTATGGATGTTTACTTTGACTTACTTTCTTCTTTCTTCTCAAAAATGTAATATTTTAAACAGTGTTGGTAACCAAGACATTTTTTTATCCATTGTATAAAAGAAAAAAATAATGTATTATAATATCCATTCTTTTGTATGTGAGGGTGAGTGAATGATGACAGAATTTTTATTTTTGGTTGAACTAACCCTTTAAGCCAAGTTCATCTGTGACAATAATAGTCTATTAGATGCAAATACATCTTGTTTCTCATGTGGTTAGGTGATCTATAATGCCAGTGGTTTTCTGGCTAAGAACAGAGATGCTCTGCCCGCTGATATTGTTCTTCTGCTGAGGTCTTCAGAGAATGAACTGATCCGTAAACTGGTTACTCACCCGCTCACTAAAACAGGTTTGCTTTAACTTTTTACTCTGTACAAATATTTAACGCCTTTGGTTTATCTACCATTTAGATGCTTCAGTTTCTGTCCATTTGTATTCAGATATAATACTTTTATGTTGCTGAGGAACCCACAAATCTACACACATTCATCCAGACATGCACTTATAAAGCTTTAGGCCGGTGTTTCATTAGCCCTCTCTGTATGAGACAGATTTTCTAAACAGTGACCTCTAACAATGTGTCGGTCAACCCAATCATTGTGTAATTACCTCAATCAATTACACATTTTTGCCATTGTGCTGCCAAAAAAAAAAAAAACATTTTGAAGAACATTTTGTTGCTTTGAGTAGATCCACCAGTTTCCACAACTTTAGTTGTGGACAGCAGAGTCCTGCAGTAGTACTTTTCATTGGCAAAGCAAGAAACAAACAAAAAGTCCTGAAACACATGGACCCCTAGATTAGGATAGGCGATACATCTGTCGATATTTATTGGAAAAAATAAATCTACAATATTGAAAATAAACTTTTGAGTCTGTATATATACACGTCATTTAATAAAAAGCTATCATCAAATACAAACTTAAACTCAAAGGTCTTTATAACAAACCTCCAAAATAACAAAGTTTGCTTAAACTTGAAGTTACTTATTGATCATTCAAATTATGATAGAAATATATTGCTGTTGACTAATCTGTCAAACTTACTTCTTAAAAGTAGCAATATAATATAATATAATATAATATAATATAATATAATATAATATAATATAATATAATATAATATAATATAATATAATATAATATAATATAATATAATACAATATAAAGGTTAGTTCTAGTCCTTAATTCTGATTGGTCAACAGCTGTATTTTATTCACAATAAAGCAGGATATGACTGTTTCACTCAACAGTTTTGTGTATCACTGTGCAACACCCCCTAGCAACCATGTATTATGTATTTCACACCCTTCCCCAGTTAAAGAAACTCTTCTCATATGGGAGATACGTAGATGTGTGCAGGTGTCTGTGTGGAAACCCACAGTTTCCGAAGTGCGGAGGGAACGTTACTGTATTTATTAGTTTTCTGTTTCAGGGATTTTATTGTATGTCCGTCAGTTTACACTGTAATGACGTTTACAAATTCACGCTGTGCCGTGAATCAGTCTGTTTTAAAGTAAAAGATGGAAAGCACATGATTTCCAATAAACTATCAAGAACTGTTTAAATGGAGCAAATGCCACATTATCTAAATTTCATCCAAATAGAAAAGTAGTCCCACTTACAATGACATGTTGCAGCTCAAAGAACACTTTTTAGTATAAACAAATTTATATTAGTGCTTTAACAAAAAATACAAATTGTACATTTCTGCTTTTAAACCCTCTAGTCAACATGCGCCATAGACTATCATTACAAGCGCACACATTTATCCTTTAGACTAAGGGACAAGTGACGAGGGTTGCTAACAGTATGACACAGATGCCATTTATAGATCTTAAGTTGTTATTAAACCAAAATATTCTTCTAACTGGTGCTCCTCTACATGACCCACTAGAGAAAGCAATATTACTGTAGTCTGATTAAGCATACATCGCATGAGCAGCCGAATGATCAGTATAATCGCATTCTATTAGATTACACTGCATTATAGGCCACACCACAATGTCACAGAATGGAAATGACAGTGCAAACAGCATCCTGTCTGAAACATTAAGCAGGGATGTTGATCTATTTGTCAGAGTGAATGTATGTAGCACTCTCTCTAGAAAAGAAAATGTGCTCACTCCCATGTGATCTGATGTGATGAATGGAGGTCGTCTGACTGACACAGCCGATTACGTCCAGTAAAATTCACTGGGGATTGTTTCCAGGAAGTCTTCCAGGAATTTCAAACCTAGGCTTCATTTGTTAGGCTTTTGTTAGCTACTTGACCATTGTGAAGATTATTTATCTGTCAGCACTGACCTCTAGAGACCATATATCTCAGTGCCCTTGAGATGGTTAACCTTGCAATAAATGGTAGATTATCTTTGAAGGACATGTAATGTGTGTGGTTATCGCATTAAGAGCAGATATTTCCCCTGACCTCTCTCTTTGTGCAGGTAACCTGGCTCACACTAAGGGCAAGGCTGCTGGCTCTGCTCGTATGGGCACACAACAATCACAGCGCACCATTAACTTTGCCAAGGTACGTTGTTTTGCCCACTTCTCCTCTCTGTACTACAGAGCTCCTAAGGGGACATGGTAATAGAAAAAAATGAGGCAGAAGAACATTATATTTCCTTATATTCGCAAAGCATTGCATTCTCCCGATAAACTTCATATGGAAATAATATGAGGTGTAAGGAAAAATAATACAATTCACAAAATGCAGTGCTTTTGTGAGCTAATGCAAAGTTTCTCAGGGAATGCAATTGTTTTGCGAGAGAACGCACGCAAAGTTTATCTGGGGAACGCAATAGTTTTGCGAGAAAATTAAAATGTTTTGTGAGTAAATGCAAAGCTTCTCAGGAAAATGCAATAGTTTTGTGAGAAAACGCAAATGTATTTGTGCGAACGCAAAGTTTATCTTAGGAACGCAACAGTTTTAGGAGAAAATGCAAATGCTTTGGAGCAAACGCAAAGTTTCATAGGAAACGCAATAGTTTTAGGATTGAATGCAAAGGTTTTGGAGCAAATGCAAAGTTTCTCGACAGAACGCAAATGTTTTGTGAGCGAGTGCAAAATTTCTCGGGGAAACGCAATAGTTTTAGAAGAGATCGCAAATGTTCTGGAGCAAATTCAAAGTTTCTTGAGCGAACACAATAGTTTGCGAGAGAATGCAAATGTTTTGTGAGTAAATGCAAAGTTTCTCAGGAAAATGCAATAGTTTTGCGAGAAAACGCAAATGTATTGGTGCGAACGCAAAGTTTCTCTTAGGAACGCAATAGTTTTAGGAGAAAATACAAATGTTTTGGCGCAAACGCAAAGTTTCATAGGAAACACAATAGTTTTAGGAGTGAATGCAAAGGTTTTGGAGCAAATGCGAAGTTTCTCGACAGAACGCAAATGTTTTGTGAGCGAGCGCAAAATTTCTCGGGGAAACGCAATAGTTTTAGAAGAGATCGCAAATGTTTTTGAGCAAATGCAAAGTTTATTGTGGGAACACAATAGTTTGCGAGAGAATGCAAATGTTTTGTGAGTGAATGCAAAGTTTCTCAGGGAAACGCAATAGTTTTAGGAGAGAATGCAATGCATTGAAATATAATTTTTCCTACCAACTCATACGTTTTTCCATCACCATGTCCTCTTAGCCGCTCTGAATTGTTCTGTTATTGTTACTGTACATTTAAGACTTCCAAATGTAAATGACTTCTGTTATGATTGGCTAACCTCACTGTATGTGAAATGAGCAACAAGAAGTTGCTGAAGCTGCTAGGTGTTGATGTATAAATGTAGGCATTCATAAGTTAGTTAGGCTTATGGTTATGAGTTTTTCTTTGATAGGAGCATCAGTACTTTCACTTTTTGGAATGTACTAAATTTCTTTCTTTTTATCTCTCCATCTCTCCACACTCCATACCCATCATTGACTTTTCCATTCCTCTTTCCTATAATGTCTTCTGTCTAAAGTTGGAAGGTCTTATGTTGTTCAGTACTGTATCATTCACTGAGGTAATGATCCTGTAGTATTTGTGCTGTACATTAGAGACATGCTCATAGAGGATAGGTGCCTTTTGCGAGCCAACACTGTGCTCACATTTTCAGTTTATGTCTGTCTATATCTGGGTCTTTCTCAGAAAAAGGTGCTTTTTATGATTTCATTCGAAAAAGTTACTTCTGAACTTTCAAGAAATATTTTTTATTACCTCAGGCCCAAAGTACCAGGACCAGACCAATGTACTGATAACCATTTGTAGTAGCCTAATACATGTGGTACACCTGAATTATATAGAGGGTGGTTGGATTCCCCGATTCGCTCGGTGCATCGGAATAAAAAGTTAACGATGCGATGCATCGGTTTAAAAAGTGTGTATCGGCTACAAGTCGGCATTTGTATCGCGATGCATCGTTTCTAATATATTTGCATCGGTAAAAAACGATTTATTTATATATAATTACTAGTGGATGCGCTATACTTTTATTATTTAGAAAGTGACCAATAATCTGTGATCTATGTATTTGTTTGTCAAGCGCGTTCCCTTTCAAGGGAACTTCGAACTGCGTCCTCTAGGGGTCGCTATGGGGGAACGCCTTGTCGTGACCCGTGTCTGAAGCATACATTGAAAAAACACCAACAACACGTTGGCTGGCGACAGCCTATGACGTCACTACCGGTGCGACTATTAGTATAAATAGGCGCCGGGAGAACATGTCATTCTCTTCTTCGTCTTCACTGACTGTTTTGTTTGAAGCGTGCATTTGAATGTGGTAAGAGCGATCTCTATCCTATTATTATGGCGAGCACTAGCAGAACGTTTAGAGGATGTGTGCATCCGTGTCGTTGTTTAACATCTGATGACACACACGATCTATGCGTTATTTGTTTGGGCGAAGAGCACGCACGCGATGTCTCCAAGGGTGCAATCGGCGTGCACTGCAAGCGTTTTTCCAAGGAAAAATCTCCGCTCTTGTTTGTCTCTCTTTTCAAGGA